GTCTAAAATATTTGTACAATGAACATTAAAACGTGAAACATATGAGTCCACATTGGTGATGTTATAATCTGAAGAGGCAGAATCAAAAAGTAAAGACTTCAGGAGTGTGCTTATTTATGATCCGCCTTTGGATCATAAGTCTAGGAGGAGCTGGATCAGGACTAAAAGACATTAAAATATATACAATTATGATCACTTAAAAATATATCCTCCATACAAACATCCTCTATATTAAGGCCTAAGGAGAAAACAAGGTCTAATGTATGGCCTTTTTTATGAGTAGGCACACARACATGCTGAGTAAAATGAAAWGAGTCTGTGATGGAGATCAAGTCAGCAGCTGCCTTACAGGAAACATCATCAATATGTAGATTAAAATCARCCAATATTAAAACATTCTCCAGCTTAATGATGGAAGACAGCAGCTCAGTAAATTCAGATAAAAACACACTGGCTGCACCTGGAGGACGGTAAATTAAAATACAGTAAAAAGTTTRCAAAGAGCCAACTTTGATTATTTGAAGCTCAAATGCAGAGAATGAGGCTGAATTAACAAGTCTGCAGGAGTAACCATCTATAAACACGGCCGCTAATCCACCGCCTCTGCGCGTTTCCCGAGGTGTTGCGAGGACAGAAAAGTTACCTGGACAGAGTTCCCACAGATGAATATACTCCCGTCTTTGCTGCTATGTTTCAGTTAAAAACAGAAAGTCCAGGGACTCCTTCATAACAAGTTCATTCAAGGCAAAAGACTTGTTGATGGAGCGCGRGTTGAGGAGGCCCATGTGCAGTGATGACAGCTCCGCAGCTCTCACATCAGCTGATAGCGGCACGTAGGTTAAACAGCGCACATCAGATGGATGATTGACAAGTAGATCTCTGGTGAATAATATGACGACATCCAACGTTGCAAGTTAGCTGATTTATGGTGGTCTGCGCTGGCCAGGCTTCAGGTGACGTGTCAGACAGTGAGAAACTCCCCACTTCCCAGCAAGTCTACGGTACAGTCTTAAACGCACCTGGACGCCAGCTCTGGATCCCCGTTTTCGCTTTTTGCATCTGGAACTTTGCAGGAGACACTCAGGTGAGCAGCAAACAAACTGAGGTGGAAAACTCCCTCTGAAGCTGTTCCAGCTGTCACAACACTTCACCAACGACTCTTTGATCGCCATCGGCGCATCCCGATCATAAACACGGACAGCAGAAATGACAACGTTTTTATCCAGACTAATAAGAGCTAAATAATACAAAAATAAAAGCACAGAAGATATGAGCAAGGGGTAAAGCAGGCAAAGTCATACACAGGCGCCATCTTGCCCTTGTACCGTATTTTTCGGACTATAAGCTGCACCCCCAACATAAAAAAAAAAACAGTACACCCAAATTTGTCATCAAAAATGAATTCAACATCAAAACATAAAAATCAAACCTTTAGGAATTTAAGTTCGGAGGAATACGGTTCATTTAACTGACCTTATTTTGGTAATTTTCTTTAACAGTTTCTAGTCCAACAAAACATCTCATTCATCGTCCTCTGGTGCACTGAAACCGTCGAAGTCCTCCTCTTCAGTGTAGGAGTTAAACAAGCTGAGAAAAGCTGCGTCACACAGCGGTATCTGTTGTTGTGTAAAGCTGTGGTGGGAAAGCCCTCCTGCTCCAGCATACGTCACTGCATGGGATTCCTTCCCCGGGGAGTTCAATGCAGGAAGAAAAAGTCAGCAGCTCTTCACTCGATGTTTATCCACAAACTGGTCCTGGATTAAGCTCCAAAGTTTTTATCAGTCAGATTCCACCGTGAAAAATGTCTGTTTTATCCCCTTTTATGAGTTTTTGGCCATTGACTATCTTTAAATCACTGCTTCCGGCTCTGGAAGGATCGCTTTTTTCTTCTTTTTCCCTTTTTTTTGAAGCGAGTGGTTGAAGCAAATGCAGCATAAGAGCCCCCTGGTGGC